TCTGCTGGTGTAAACCACATGGAAATCAAGCATAAGACAATAATCTGACTTTTCAAGAAGGTCACATCCACTTAAATGTATAAAGTTGCACACAGTAGGTTTTTCTAAATGTAGGCACCTGCCTATAAAATCATGGTGAATCCAAGTCTGATAAAGGTTGCTTGATGTTATGGAGCCTAAAAGTCTGACAGAAGCACAGGGGAGGGGGAGGAGGGAGAAGCAGCTCCGGGGTCGTGTGAAAACAAAGCCTTTCTTCTCTCCTTTTAAATACTTCTGCTGTGCCCTGATTGAACGTGGAATGAAAAGCCGCTGTCTTGAGATTTGAGGAAAACAAAGGATTTCTGTTTTCAGTATTACATTGAAAAGTTCTTTACTGCATGAAAAGTCGTCCCTTCTAAACTTCCTCAGACTCATGGCTTAGGTTTCGGGGGAGCACTGCTGCTGGCACCACGGAAATCTGTTATCAATAAGAAGTGGTATCTCGGAGTAGTCCATATGGTCAGGAACATTAGTGCTCTGTTCTTTATATCAATTTTGCACTGTATCTTGGGTGAAACATTTCAAGAATAAGGTTTTGGCTTTTAAAGGTACCGTGATGGCATATAAGGGTAGTATGTTTTGACCCAAACTCCCTGTTCTTACATGGTAAGAATTACAGAGCCGTGGTCTGAGGTGATGGACTGAGGCTGGCAGTCGCGGTGTCAATATCAGCCATGGGCTCTTCCAGAATTGCATCCTAAGATTTGATGTTGCTTTTGAGCTAATGTTTCTCTCTATTATCTGGATTCTCAAAAACACCCCTAGCATCCTTTAGAGCTTGTCATGAGAATTGTGCTGTGCCCTGATTGAACGTGGAATGAAAAGCCGCTGTCTTGAGATTTGAGGAAAACAAAGGATTTCTGTTTTCAGTATTACATTGAAAAGTTCTTTACTGCATGAAAAGTCGTCCCTTCTAAACTTCCTCAGACTCATGGCTTAGGTTTCGGGGGAGCACTGCTGCTGGCACCACGGAAATCTGTTATCAATAAGAAGTGGTATCTCGGAGTAGTCCATATGGTCAGGAACATTAGTGCTCTGTTCTTTATATCAATTTTGCACTGTATCTTGGGTGAAACATTTCAAGAATAAGGTTTTGGCTTTTAAAGGTACCGTGATGGCATATAAGGGTAGTATGTTTTGACCCAAACTCCCTGTTCTTACATGGTAAGAATTACAGAGCCGTGGTCTGAGGTGATGGACTGAGGCTGGCAGTCGTGGTGTCAGTATCAGCCATGGGCTCTTCCAGAATTGGATCCTAAGATTTGATGTTGTGTTTGAGCTAATGTTTCTCTCTATTATCTGGATTCTCAAAAACACCCCTAGCATCCTTTAGAGCTTGTCATGAGAATTGTTTGGAAAAAAACAAACTTCTGGAAAACATTCTTCTGTCAAAATGCAGCATTTTACAAAAATACAAAATGTTTCGTGGAAGTGTGTTGGCTTCAATGAGAACTTCTCAGTGAAAAGTTCTCAGGACTGGAAGTTTTAGGAAAGAAAGAGAGAATGACCAACTGGGAAATAGTGTGGCCACCTGGGGCACTGGTGACCCCCATATACTGTCCAGCCTGGGTGCAGGGATGATTTATAGTGCACGTCTGCCTGCCTCTCCCACTTTCTCTCAGCCTTGTCAGAGGTGTTGTGTTGTGTGAATGGTTCACCATTCTCTGGTCCAAAGAGTTACTCTGCCAGGTCAGTGGTTAGATTCGTGGTATCCACTGCAGGGGGCAGAGGCCAAAGCCTCAGTAGGGATAAAGGCAGGACAATGAGTTTAAACGTGGCTTTTCTATTTGTAGGCATGCAAGTTGGCCACCTGGCTATTAGCAGTTCTGTGGTGGATATGTCCAAACGTTCCTCATAACTTTTTATGACATTTCCATTCAACATTGGAATGATAGGTCTGCAACTGGGCTTTCCCTCCTGTCTCTGAAACAAAATTGTTATATTCCTGACATTTCTTCTCAAGTACATTGTAAATGAGGTAAAACCAAAATGAAAGAGGCTGTAGTCCAGTAGATGCTAGACCCAGGCACACATGGTTTATATGCAGACCTCACTAGTGGTTGGGGGGGAGGGTTTGTGTTTGAGTGAGCAGAAGGGGAAATCATGCCTACCAAGGAGTATCTTCATTTGTTCTCCTGTGCTCTTTTCCACAGTTTGAAGATGATGCAGGCTCTTCTGGGATGATTAGATGCTATTGTGGTGTTTGTAGTAAAAGCCAAAAGTCAGGTTCATTTTGAAGACAGGAAGAGAGGGTAGGGTTGAAGTCAATGCCAGCGTCTGGCTGCTGCTTTGTTTGAGTTGCATAGTATGCTAATGAAAATAATGTTATAATTAACAATGCATAGTTGTGCTTTCACCCATGTTTTCAGGTCAGGAACACCCTCTTGTACTCTCACTCCATTATTGTGTCAAAGTGGAGGGGAGCAGGACTGTGGTCTACTTCCTCCTCACCTCATTTCATACTATTTGTTCTTTAAAGCAAATGGGAAGAGATGAGCAGGCTCTTCTTGGGCCCTGCTGTTGTAAGAGGCTGCTCCACAGATGCTTCATATAGGAGCTGTGATCTCTGCTCTCTCCTCTCTTTACTCCCTTAGGAACCTTCATGGCCAACTGCAGCCTATCCTGCAGGAAGTATTTCCAAGCAAGTCAGATATCACTGACATCTTCATGATAAACCACTTAAACACACAATCAAAGACCCACCTTTAGACGTCGCGACTGAAGTTGTTTTCAAAGAAAAGTATGAAGAGAAAAACTCTGCTCTCGTGTGTAGATCGGGCATAACTCAAGAGCTAAAACCAGAATAGGGCCTGGAAATTTTATCTTTTGGCTCAGAAAACAGGAGTGAACAAAAGGCCTGATTCATCACTGAGGAAAGCCAAGTCAGCACCAAAGGTTCATATTAATTTGCTAATTTGATTTAGGACTTGACCGGTGAGGCAAGGTGACTGCATTGAAAGCACTGACTTCAGACAACTTGAGCTATTCTTAAAATGATATAAAATATTATTGAAGACAGGCATTGCTCTAGGTGGCAGCTTTGGAAAGTATTATTACTGCTGTCACTGAGCGACAGACTGTGATGCAAGTCTGATGGGTGCTGAAAATTAGAGCAAGTTTTGTCCCAGATACTTTTCCATGTGCAAAGGAACCATATAATATGCAGGGATTCGTTCACAATTACGGTACTTGTAGAAGATCTTTATTCTGTGTCCAGATGTCCAAGCCTAGCAACATGCAGACCTTACAAAGTGTCTAGTCTTGGAAAGCTCAACCATTGAAGAAAAGCACATTTCCAAATGTCCCACCGTGAATGACAGCTTGGCCCCAAAACCTGGTCGTTCATCTTGAGTGATGAAGTGGATGGAACGATTTGCAGAGGCAAGTTGCTTGAATGGCTCTGGAATGGGAATGAAAAACTGCTCTCTTGCATGTTGGGTGGTTGAAGCTATGGGTGAATTAATATGCCACATTTCCTATTGTGACTCTACATAGCAGCCATGGCCTGGTTTGGGGGGATAATACTATAGGAATTTTCTTTTATTTACAATTTTTTTCTTTGTAGCAACTGTATGAATTCGAACACAATGATATAAGGTTTTTATTTATCTGAAATAAGGAAAAAATCTATAGGATTAATGTGTTCCAACTAAAAATCTCCGATAATCTGTTATTATATAATTAAAATATTTTAAACTGCATTAGTTATAATATTTTTAATGAAAGGCTAGTTTGTGAAGGCGGTAGTTTCCCACCACATGCAATAAAAAGCATTTCACACGCATGAAAAACTAGTGGACCAAATTTCAGGCTATAAATAAGGCAATTGTGAAATGTAAATGCTTAGAAACACTAGCAAGATTCAGCCGACAAAGCAGGGATCAGAAATTTATACCCTCGTTACTGGTAATTACAGTCACATTCTTTGCTGAACTGTATTCCCAGCCAACACATAAAAGTGTCCTGATGCATTACCTGCTCAGAACTAAGTCACCCCGAACACACGTGTGCCAGAAGGAGAAGCTGCAGCTCCCTGGCCATGTTAGCACATGGAGCTCTGCATGCGCTGCTGTAAATGTATCTGTCTACCTTTTAAGCAAAGTAGCTGAAAGCCCCTCAGGGTGTTCTTACGAAATGTAAATTCACTGACTTGGAGACCTCAGCATAAAATCCCTGCTTTTAGTGGATGGCAGTTTAACACTCTCCTTGCCATAAAAAAGCGAGGAAAAATAATGCAGTCCCACGGCTGGTTTTATGTACGTTCAGCATTTGCCTTTTTTTTTTCTTATTTGACAAAATAAAAGCAGTTTAGGCATTTATAAAAGTAGACTTTTTTTTTTTCCCCCAAGCAATAAATTCTTAATGCCCTTGTGACAGATCAATCTCAACCTGTCAATAATTCATATTTGATACTTCCGCTGTTTAAGTTAAGAAGGAATTGTGAGGAAAGATGAGCCTTCTTTTGGGTTCAGATTGACACCTCCTGCCAGGACTCTTAATATGCCTAAGAAAAAAAAAAAAAAAAAGCACATACAGGGGAGCTTAAATTCATTAGTGGTCTTCTTGCAAGTATTTTGGCAATACTGCACGAATCACATGCTTTTTCCTTGAATGGTGCTTACACACACACTTGATTAATGTGTCTTAAAAAGTCTGACTAACTGTAGATGCAGACACATAAAAATACTCTGCTATCCCGAGTAGCAAGCACCCACATCTTTGAATTCTCTGGAACTGCTGTGGTCCTTTCCTATCTGAAAATTGGACCCTTTTCAACATAGAGTTGGGTGCCAAGTGCTAGCTGACCGATTTTAAGGCTGCTAGGCTGTAGCCATGAAACAAGATCAAAACAGAAGTGCCTTGAGGAAGAGAGCTTGTTGCCTGGAAGACTGCTGTGACTTCTTCAAGAGTCAATCATTCAAGTGTTAAATTATTTGTGTAATAAGCTTGCATTCTTGACAGGACAACAGGCCCAAGACATTACAGGAGATGGTTAGAAGATTCTACCTACCCCAGAGCAGTCAGATGAGCTGAAGTCCTCACTACTGCTAACCACATTCTGGATGCTCTCAATTTGGAAAACAGGGTATGTAAGACGAATCACAGAAGTCAGGGCCCAAAAGTTTTGCTCATGATCTTTCCAAGCAGTTTAAGGATTGAAAAAGTAAGGCATTAAAAATATGTAGTGCATTTAAAGATCTCTGAACGACTTTGAGGCAAATACACCTTTTTTCAGTTTGAACATACCTAAACATTCTCTGGTGAATGGGCACATGTACTGGGTAGCAGGTGTGTTTCCTTACAATTTTTCCTTTTCTCAGTTAAATTTTTCATCCTATTGAAAGCAGTTAATGGAAAACCACCAGTCTTAATGCATTTCAATAAGCTGATTCTCTTTGGGATCTTTAAAGGGCAATGCTAAAACAACCTTGAGTTTTAAAGCGTAGTGACACTCTATGTAAAAATTTTCTCTGGATTTCTTGTATTTGTTGCTAGTGATATAAACAGTGAGCTTTCTTCCATTTAGAAATTAAAATGCTGTTTTTTCTTGTCGAGTTCTCCAAATTTGGCTGGGCTCTGTTGGTCATATCTCTGTTCTTTTTATTTTTTATCACCATTTTCCTTTTTGTTTTTCTTCTTTTTCTATTTAAGATGAAGTAGACTTTTTTTAAGATGAAGTTTCATAGACTTGCCAATTAACATTGGTTTCCTTCTGTCCTAAGAGCTGTACAAACATAGTGGAAGAAGCCATCCCTTCCCTGAAGGTGTCCTCTGATGATCTAAAACCAGAAGGAGCCGATGGAGATGTACTAAAACAGGTCTTGCAGGTCAGTGATGTTGTAAGTGGATTTTGGCTGGTGGGGCTGATTGGAAACGTCATTGATAATGCATGAACTGAAAAAGTTTATTCAGCACCAGGTCAGAGATGTGTACAGAAGCCAGGGAGACCTTCCTCACGATATGCAAAGGGACCAGGTCACACTCATCCCGTTCTCTGGGCTGTGTATGAATTGCTTCACAAAGCTTAAGGGGTGTATCATAAGGCTAGAGAAAGGGTGCACAGTACTGCTTACCCCCCAGGTATGAGAAGAGCCCCCTGGTTATATCATGCATTCTTCCTGATGGGCAATGAAGTCTTAATTTCTCACTGGCCCTGCAACTGTCTTCCCTGAGTTAATCACAGCTGGTTTCTCAACCCAAGCAAACTCTTGTGGAAACTTGCTTCTTTCTCCTGTGAATGCATGCAAGAAAGTGCTACTTTTTTTTTTTTATGCAGTCATATTTCAGATTAGAACTAGAGGATACAAGCAGAAGACACATCATTAACTAGGGGAATCTGTTAATACCCATAATCAATAAATGGGTACAGGACTGTTTCTTGTATTACAGTCACAAAATGACATATAGTGTTTGCTAACTGCTGTTCACTTCTAAATACTGCATGTTACTTGCTCATTAATTACTGCTACAGTTTGCAGGAATTATTCCATAATTAATTGGCTTCTAAAACACTCTGCTGTATCTCTCTCACATTTGGGAAGTGCTACTCAACATCCTGTTTTTCATACAAGTTTTTCGTACAGGCTTTGCCAAAGCTCTTCAAACATGTCATCTTGGCAGATAAAAACATGACTTAGAAATGGCTACAAGAAATGAGATAGTGTGAAAAGTTTTAGAAACAATGAAATATCACTATTAAATGTAAAATTAATGTGGCATTCCTACATCCTGAAATCCCTCTTACCAAACTACAAACCAGGCAATAGAGTGAAAAGTTTGAATGCAGACTACTTAATAATTTATGCAGAAATCCATGAGTTGGTTCAAGTCTTAGAAAGACCAATTTATTTGAATCCATTTGAACAATACAACTAACATAATGGCATAAATAATAACCTATACAAACCCAGCGTCCTTTACTAGCATGGATCCCAAAGTAAAGCAGGAGTTGTGGAAATGCACTTCAGGCAGCTGTGCCAGCTCTGTTATGGATCCAGTCTTCCCCACTGCCTCTGGTGAGCCATTTATGAACTGTAGGGATGAGTCTCTGTTAGGAAAGAAGTTTTCAGTAAAGAGTGCTATTTAACATCTTTGTTGGAGACATGGGCAGTGAGAGAGAGTGCAGTCTTAGCAAGTTTGCTGTGGACACCCAGCTGCGTGGCACGGTTGACACACTGGAGGGAAGGGATGCCACCCAGAGGGACCTGGACAGGCTTGAGAGGTGGGCTGTGCAAACCTCCTGAAGTCCAACCAAGCCAAGTACAGGGTCCGAGGGGTAATGGTTTTAAACTGAAAGAGGGGAGATTTAGATTAGATACTAGAAAGAAATTCTTTCCTGTGAGGGTGGTGAGGCACTGGAACAGGTTGCCCAGGGAAGTTGTGGATGCCCCATCCCTGGAGGGGTTCAAGGCCAGGCTGGAGGGGGCTTGGAGCAACTTGGTCTGGTGGGAGGTGTCCCTGCCCATGGCCAGGGGGGTTGGAACTCGATGATCTTTAAGGTCCCTTCCAACCCAAACCATTCTATGATTCTATGATCTGCTCTACAGAGAGTTGCAGAGAGAGAGGGACAGGCGGAGGTGTAATTATTTATGTGGCACATAGCTCTTTATGAGTGATCCTTAAATAGTGAAAATACTGTGAATGATTTTATGTCTCATCTGAAAAAGCATCACAAGTAGTAAATAGTACAATCACCACTTCACGGGGTTCAGTTTTCAAGAGCCAATCTCATGGTGGCAGTCCACACAGAACTCAACATGCAGGGCTCCTGGAAGATCTTGACGTTTATTTAGGTGCTTACATGGGAACAGAAATCTTCTGAAAATCTAGTCCCAGCTGCAGGGAATGCAAGGCCTTGAGGAAATTCCAGCCAGTAGCTGTATTGTAAAGCAAGAGATCTCTCAACAGCCTTGGAGTAAAGCAGTAAGTTCATCCACACCCGCTTTCCAGCCAAAATAAATAAAATAAAAGCTCTTAGTGCATTACACTGATGCAAAGCCCAAGGTAATAGAGGGGACGTTCTCCCGTGAGCCAGAATGCCTGTTCAGCTGAGGTTGTGAGTGCTGATGATCAGGGCATGACCAAGCAGAGGGAGGAAGAAGTGTCAGGGACAGAAAGGGAGGCAGAATAGGAAAAGTTTCCTGCAGGCCAGAGGACAATGTCATCCCATCTGTCAGAACCACATGTGCCACAAACTAATAATTCCTGCCTGCTCTGAGCTGGTAATGACACCATGATAACCTGGCTGTTGCCTGCTCTGGCAAACGCTGTCTCGCCCAATCAAAACAACTAAATTGCATTTCATTTTCCTCTACCTTTCTCCCTAAAAATCCTCTGTCATGAAGCTTTTGAACTGCTTCTCTTTGGTTTTAGTTAGACCAAATGGCAAGTCGAGACTTTTGATTTTCTACTGAAACCTTTTGGTTTTATCACCTCTGGTCCCCTGTCATGGTCTGTTTTGTCTATGCTCTGAAGCCTTATTTAGAAGGTAAACTCTTCAAGGAGAACAAAATCTTTCCAGGCACAAATCTCTGCATTGCACAGTGATGAGGGCTGCAAAATGCTGCTGTGAAAAAGAGCTCCTAAGTCATTCGTACCATGTAGTAGACACAGTTGTGGCTTTTTATTAGAGAAAATGATTCTGATCTATATATTCATTTAAAAAAATATATGGTGGTTGTGGAGGTGGGGGAGATCAGTAGTGTGATGGTTCCATTTTGTAGTAGCTGAAGACTGATAGAATTTGATGTGGTTTGGGTGCCTAAATAAGAGTTGAAGATGAGTAGATATGTACAAACCGAAACAAAATCTTAACCCTAGCTAGCATGTTGTCTGCTTTCTGGACGCAGAAGGACTAAATGGGCACTGAAACTGAAGAACCAACCTGTAAAGGTGGCCTCCCAGAACAAGAAATGATACACATTACACAGTTAAATATGGTAGAAGATCGTACGGTTGTGTGTTCAGCTCCTGTAAATACATTAGTGTACTTTGATCTCTAGGGTTGCCAGGCCAGCTTCCGCTCCTGTTAAATCAGGTGGGGTTTTTTGATGAATCTGCAGTGGATGTGGTGGGTTGTTGACCATTACACCGAGCTAAAACTACTGAGACAAGCAATTGTGGACCATCTAAGCTGAAGAGCATTAACAATTAGGCTTTGGTGGCAGTATTTGATAAAAGAAAGATACATTACCCTAATTTTGCTGAAAGGACTGCTAATGTTGTAGGGTATTGGATGCGACTCTGAGGAGAGTACAAATGTAAACTCGGCTTAAATGAGTAAAATGTGAAGGAAGTCAGTATGGAATTAAATAAGAAAGTGGTTGAATTGTAGGTTTAGCCTGGAGGTTAAGAGATCTGAGTTTTTGCATAGTAACAGAAAACTTACCAGCTATTTGATGAATATATCATTGCATATGTACACGTTGGATTAGAAACCAGTGGCCAACAGTGATCCAGAGCCCAAGAAAGAACACAGAAATGTCCTGAGGAATGCGGAATCAACCGGCCCGTATTAGTACTGTGACAGCAAATACAGCTAAGCTATCAAGATAGTAGAAAGGCTTTCTAGCTCTAATACAAATTCCCAAATTGTTTTGGCACTGAGCTCAGAACTGCACAGGCAGACGCATAGGATGACTCTCCACATGATAGCAACGCAAATAGCTGCTTTTGCTGAAACACAGAAATGCTATCCCTCGTGCTAAATGGGAAAAACGTGATTTGGGGAGACATCAGTAAAAAAGCCCAGTGTTGTCAGGTGAGAAAATGAGGTCAAAGTAAAAGAAATGTACTTTCTTCTAACGTTCAAGGAGGCAGAACCAAAGCTGAGTTTCAACCTGGCAGAAAAAATGGAGGGAGATAAAATGATGCAGGGATCTGACTGAGACTGCAGCTAAATCAAAGAGGTGGGAATTAATGATCTACCCTGAGGTATAATACACATGGCATAGTTTAGGTGGCCCAGCAGAAGCAGCAAATCAAGCTTAGTGAGAGGTTTGGAATCAGGGAAACTGGAAAGGAAAGAAAGGGGAAAAAAGGATCAATTGACTGCAGAGAGAGAACGGTGTATAATAAATGGGTGGCAAGATATAATGCAAAGAAAATATGTGGGATTAGCTAGATGTATTGTTTTCTTCTTGAGCAATATGACTGAACACTAATATACTTTCTATATATGGAAAAAGTAGCAGGGCTTTGCTGGAAGAGCTTTAATGTCATATCAAAATATGGTCCTCAACCTAGAACTTGAGGTAAAGCATTGCAGTTGTCACCCCACCTCACCAAAATGATGACAGGGAGACCTTTGCTGGAAGAGCTTTAATGTCATATCAAAATATGGTCCTCAACCTAGAACTTGAGGTAAAGCATTGCAGTTGTCACCCCACCTCACCAAAATAACAGGGAGATCAAGTTAGACCATATGATACGCTGTGCTTTCCTAACAACACGCAAACATCTAAACCAAAAGCTTTATCTGTCTAATTATCTGCTACTGCTAGTCTAAATGGTACCCCGAACCATACAATTAATGTTACTTCATCCTCTTTGTCCTTAGTCTGCCATACCTGTATGGAACTTGAGGACAAAAATGAGTTTAGATTGAATGAGGGAAGTAACCCATTCCCTTTACTGATATATATTAACTCTGTTAGAGCGTGCACAGATGATACCATATTCTATTTGATCTACCTGACTTCATCTCAAGTGTTTTAAAAGATGGTCATGGTCAGTGAAGGAAAACATCAAAGCTTTAGCTGAGATGAGAGTACGACTGAAGGGAAAATGCAGGTTAAAATTGTTGACACTTTTTTACAAATTATAGGAACAGAATGGTCTATTCCCTTTCCTCCCACCGTCAAATCAAACAAAGTACAACTAGAACCAAGAGAACTGTCCTTTTGAGATAGAAACAGCATGTGATCATTAATATATAGCTTATGTTTTTTTATGCTGTATCAAGCCACGTATCCACTTTTTGGTGGGTCATAACCAGCTGCAACCAGGAGACAGATAGCTTCCTAATGAAATGGGAGCATTATGATATCTGACTTTTATCGCTATTATCGAGCCAGCAGACTCCCCTGCTCACTAGGTCTATTACAGAGCCTATGAGATAAATCCTTTTGGGTAAAAAGCACTGGAGGAATTAAGTGGTATTAGAGACATACGTGTCTATGCAGATCCCCCTGTATTCTAAGGCTCTTCCTAACAATTTAAAACACCCTTTTAAAAGATACACCCAGTGCACAAAAATGATCTCCAGAAATCCCTTGTTGGGAAGTCTTTAATAGTACTTCTTATGGCAATTCCTCTTCCAAGACAGGGACTGCAAGAAGTGTTAGAAGCTTGGTTGCCTTTGACTTAAATACATTTAGACTCTCCAGCAGTGCAAGGGGAAACACTCTTTCCCAAGTACAACACACGTGCAGTACTGGGCACTTGAGGTCTGAATACATTATCCCTAACGAAGGTGAGAGTTTCAGCCCTTTTGCTCCTTTACACCAGATAAAAAGGAAAGAATGAATTAAAGTATCCGGCTGACAGAGATTGCTGGGAGCACAGCAGAGGCCACCTGTGAGGGTCCCATTTTCCCTGTGTCAGGTATTGGCAGGGACAGGGCTTGGAGTGGCAAGGAAAGGAAAAAGGCAAAAGTCTGGGGAGGATAACCTTGGAATGTTTATGAGGACTGGAAAACTTCTTAATTACATCATTGACCCAGCACCCCAAATTACATCAAATTACAGTCAAATTACATCAGCACCCCAAATAGGAGTGACCTAAAGCTCTAAGACAGTTTCTCACCCTGGAGTAATTCTGATTTTTGTCTTCTAATTACATTATTGGCGTAATGGTTAATCATTTAGAATCAAAATAAGGAGGGAGCATCCAGGACTTTAAGTTACTTAGAGGAAAGAGAGATTTCCTAAATACAACAACAAATGTGGACTTTAAAGTAGAATATTGTTTTTTTAATTCAGTAAGTGGAAACATAGCAAGGAGAAACAAATGTTGAAAATGTAATCCTGAAAACTCTTGACTTGTTGAACGATATGTTAGTGAATTGTGAAAACCTAGGAACACACCAGGGTCAATGGAGAACGTACTGTGATTGTACATGGATGGATTGTGAAACTTACTGAAGGCTGGGCCAGAGTAATTGCAGTAATTGTATGTTACTGTTAACATATTTTTTTCATCTTGGTGGCAAGAATTACTTGGAGGGAAATGTTAACAGGCAGATGGAGGAAGAAAGTAAGAGATTCCTGGAGACCGGTAATAACAGCTGATCTTACAACTGGAACAGACTCTTCCACAGTGACAGAGAGTGATCTCACATGTCCTCTAGACAGAAGGGAGAGCAATGAATCAGATCACGTCCACCTTTCCCTCCCATGGCTACTAATTTTCTGTCCTTCCATCAGGATCTCTAATCCATCTCAGCTGCGTTCGTCTTTTAAATACTTCTTCAAAGTCCACATTTTGCTGCAATGCTTGAAGAAAACACGTTTCCAAAGGTACGTAGCTTGATTGGTCATTGTCTGTGAATTCTGGAAATTGTGAATTCTATGAATTCTGGAAATTGTGAACTGATGGTGCTGAAGCGGTTGCTGTGGGGGGCAGTGGCCAAGGAAGAATATCAGCCAAAATGAGCAGTGAACTTAATTCTGGGAGTTTAGCAGGGGTGTATTTAAGCATGGGGTGCATATATTATCTGTGGACTCATATATCATTCTGGAACAAGCAGGATGCAGACAGATATTTGGAATACAGATTCGATAACAGAAATGAAAGATGAGTAACCCTAAAATCCCTAAATATAAAAGGACATTTATCATGGCCGAAACAGGAAGTGAACCGGAGGAATGTAGATAGAATTATACACAAGGATGACTTTCATATGGTAGGAGAACATGGGAGCTTAGTACCCCTGTCAGTGTGTGAAAACATCCATTCCTTAAAGGTCCATTTCTTTTGCATATTCTACAGGTCTGCTGTAACTCCGTTGTTTTACAGTCACAGCACGGCAGGAACGGGAAGCTCGAGTGTTCCTGTTTCATTGAACTTTCTCCTTTGTCCACAGTCTGCAGCAGATTTGGCAGTGGTGGGTTTTAGCAGCTGAGATTCTCCAGACAGGAGAAGGAATGATGGGGGGAGCAATAAAAAGCTAATCGTGAGGCTGGCTTGAACACAGAGGAGGACTAAAAAGCTCTGGTCATTGAAGTCAAAATATTTAGAAGCGTTCCCAAAGGATACATTTAATTTCTGATTCAGAACAAGACTAAAGTACCATTTAACCTACAAGTTTACACGAGACTTAAATGATAGGCAGTAGGAACTCGTTCCAAAGAGATACCTAGCTCTAAAACTTGTAGTGTAAATTGAATGGTACATGAAGACATTCATATTTTTGAAGTAAACATATTATTGGTGTTCTTGGTACCATGCTTTTAAAGATGCAAAATCAATACCTATTTTAGGCAACTATTTATTCACTCATACTAGTGCTTTTACAATAACACAGACATTTAAAGAATCATAAGATAACACCTGCAATTTGTCTAGAAGTACTAAAAGAAAATAAGGTATTGTTAAACAAAATGATCAGTGTCTGAGGTCTTTGACAACTGTAAAAACAACACCCTTTCACAGACAGCACTATTAAATAATTTTTAATTTGCAGTAATAGTGGGGTTCAGGTTCCCTAACGATCCTGTGAAAACATCCACAAAATTATTGAGAGAACATTTATTTTGTGGCAATACTAATCCTAGGTGACAGACAGTGTTCTCAAGGCTTTTTTTGTTGACAAAGACAACAATAATACTTCCTCATAAATAGCTGTATAATGACTACAATCTGCAAAATCCAAAGTCATTAAAAAAATCTACATTCAGAGAACACAGTCCTCGCTCTTTTTGAAAGACAGTTTCCTTATTATGACTTTTTCCATTTTGATTGAGCCAGATGCCAACAAATTTCTTTTTGGGGTCTATTCTTTAAAAACTGAGAGCAAATTATTAGCAGGAGCCAGCAGCAAAATAACAACAGAATGCAGTTTGCTATAACAAACTTGAGAAATAATTACCAGACCCCTTATGCATCTTTACTTTCTCCATGTTTTTGCTGCTGAGGAGCAGGATCGTCGTTTCCATGCAGATGCTAGGGCACAGCTCCTTAGTCCTAATGGGACTTGGTTCAGCACAGCTGTAATGGAGAGTGTGGATTCATACCATTTTAAGATGCCAACCGGCAGTCCCTGGAACTGCAGAAGACTGGCACAGCCTCTGGCTTAATCTTGAATAGCATCATTTTGCCCTCAGGACACCAAATACTGCTGACCTCTCGCAAGTCTGACCCACGTTTTGTGATCGGGGCCAAGAAACAAACATCAGTCTCGAATTAGCGTTCTTCAGTGTCACAACCCCATTAGAATTGGCATAAACAAAAGCAAGAAGCAATACTTTCCCCTTCCCACCTCCTGGTTTCCTCCTAGGATGGCTGTGGCCATAAAAGAAAGATCATTAAAGAGGACTTTTGTATTAATGATTGAGTGTACGTTACAGTAATCAGATAATGGCTATATCAGCTTTCATTAGAGGTCTCGAGAAACCCATCTTTGCTATGCATGATGAACTAATTTCTTCTAAATACTTTGACAGTATTGTTGATTAAAGCCTTAATGTTCGCTTCGTCTATAAGGCAAATTGTTTATTGGTCAGTTTATTACTTTGTGTAACAGCAAACCTGAATATTAAATGGGCTTGAGAGGTGTTAAGGAAAACTGCATACTGAGTGATCTCTACCCTAAAATATTTGTGTAGCTGTTTGGTTTGTTTGTTTGTTTGTTTGTTTAATATACTTACATACAGTCCAGGTATAAAAGAAATAATGTTATTAGTTGATCTTAATTATCAGCTAAAATGTCTTGGGCCACTAAGTACCAAGAGTAATAAAATAATAACATTAATTAACAATGGGATTTTCTGTCATCCTGCTTAGAACAGCGCCGTGCAACTTGGAATCGAGCGGATCCAGCGGGGCAGGGGACGACAGACAGAATTTCAACACCAAAGGTATATTGGTCCTTGTTCAATCGCTTGATAATATCTCCTGGTCTGCCTGTAGCGTGTTTTAACAAGATCTCTGTACTCGGGGCCTTGTTTCTTCTGTTCCATAGAGGCGGCGTAAAGCAGGTGTGCGTTTGCTCGAGGGGGGCTAGAGTTACACCCAGGAAGGGTTGAAGAGCTCGCTGGAAACGGAATCGTCATTCCCAGCACGTAGCAAAGGTGTGTGGGGAACCGGCTGGCACGCCAGGCAGCGAGGGAGAGGGGAGAGGGCTTTCTCGGGGGGCTCATCGAGGCGGCACGGCGCTGGCTGCCTTAATAACAGCTCTCCTGCTGGCAGAGAGAGAGCAGCTTAAAATATTTGTTTGACTGCACGTTTGGACGGGACCCCACACGCGTGAGAAGGGATAGCAAGCTTGTTGAAACAAGAAAAGTTTGCTTATGTCCCTTGTGGCGCCTTCTGTGTTTTGTTCTGCCCTGATTTTTCCTGTTGAATCCTCACAATGCAGTTTATCCATGTTTCCTCCACTGGTCTTACCAGCTTTTTGTTTGGTTGGTTTTTTGTTTGCTTTTCAATGCGTTCATTCTTGTCCTTTCCAAGTCCTGTAGCTCACGTTTTGTCACCATTCTTGGGATGTAATGGATTCTTCTGACCACCCATTGGCATCTGGGGTATCGCTTCTCTTTCCCAACACCCCCTTTCTTGAACATCTGGGGCAGCAACTGTAAGTAGGTGAATACTGAAGAGCATTTGGGAGCTGGGGTGACAGTCATAAACAGATGGAAACTGGAATTGTCTAAATCTCAGCAGTTACCTTTTCTGTGAGACCATACCTGCTGCTGAACGTCCCACCTTACAAAGGAGGTGCTTAGTTGCAGTCATCTGGATGATGGACCATGTGCTGTCAGCATCCAGCTACTTGTAGCATCTTTCCAACAACCTGATGGGTGGAGCAGCCAGCTGGCCTCCACGCCGCCATTCCTCTGTGGATACCTCTGAAATTAGAGGAAGAAACAAGTTCTGGAGACATCGATAGAGGATCAACAGTACTTCTCCAGGATCATCCGTCACTCCTACGCTGCTGCAGCCTATGGAGGCCCATTTTTATGCCTTCTGACAGTAAAGCCAAAGGCTGATTAACATGACCTCAGGGGACAGTAAGGGAAATGACCATCCACTGTCTGCTAGTTCTTATTGCAAGTCAGAATGATGGCCTGTAGAAAGATACAAGTGCTTCTGGCACTGACACCATCTTTGAGTCATGATTGATTGTCATTCTTCCCAATGAAGCCTTAACCATAAATAATAGTATTGTGTGAAATCGAGTATTTGAAAAACATAAGCTTATTTCAGACGAGCCTGGATCTTTAAGAGTGAAAATGTGACAACAGATGAGGGGAACAAAGCATTTACAAAACTGGATGCCCTTTGTCAGTGTGAGAACTGAGATAACAGAGTCTCTGGCTATTTCAACGAGAAGGTGACCAAAGCTGTTCAACATCACAACAACAAAGAAAAGACTTTTCTCTGGAGAAAAATCTCACTCAAATTCCCTTCCTATAGAAATCACCTGAAGCAGATACTATTTTTGCTTTTGTTGTTTTATGAGGTAGTAAAAAAGTCGGGTTTACTTACTATTTTGGTTTCAGATGCCTGGAATAGCTTGATGTAGCTACCCTGGGCATCCCAGGGCCAAAGTCAGGGCTCAGTCAATAGTGGTCTAAGCTTGGTTTTTCACTGGTATAAGCTACCAGAGGTGCTTGATCACAGTGATATGTACATGATGTGAAATGAAAATCCAGCTCAAGATGACAGTCATTCATCTGAAGCTGGTCTTAAACTGACAAAACTCAGCTTTCTAATGAAAGCCTTACTCTCCCTGATTAATTAAATGTGAAAATGGAAGTCCCTCATCAAAAACTTCAGTACAGAGGTAAAGCAAAATCTGTCACTGCCAAGATGAGTACCCAAACTCAGAAAGCAGCTAAGCCAAGGGGGTAGAAACCTCCAGAATCTTTGCAAAGGTCACAAACTGAACTGCTCAAAAGCTAGGGAATGCCTGAGTTGAGTTTATCCCTGCAATCCTTACTTTACCAGCTTGATTTATATGCCTGATCAGGCTCTTAATTGCCTGATCACAGACTAGTCTTCCTGCAGGATTGTATCCTCATTTAACATGTGGTCCCTTTTCAGCAGCAGTCCTTCCTTCACAAAATCACCCCAACTCCACACATCCATATTTGAAAATTGCTACTGGTTCTCTCTGTAGTACCTGTGTACTTCTCAGACGTCAGTGAGTTGGTCTCCACGCTCTGGAAATGGGATCATCCTTGTTTTGATAACTTGATAAAAGAGATCACTAAATTTGAATGCTCTGTGGCAGATGCTGACCTTTTGCTATTGTCAGGTCACGTAGCAATTCCAGTTCAGGCAATGCATTAACAGAGGGAATCTTTTTTGAAGATCAGCCGAAAAAGAGACATTTCAGAGAATTTTTCCCTGCTGCACTTCTAGAAATTCTCTTATATGTGAACTATGATTTTTTTCTTATAGCTCAGAAATTTGTGCAATTTGGCCAAATGAGGTATGTTCATGATGACCAGCTTTCAAACTTTTGCTTCTAAGTGCAAAGGCATTGGAGCTCCTTAGAAAAGTAGTTCTTAAATAGCTATTATTTTAGCACAGAAAATGTGTTTGTTAAGAATCAAGTCTGGAAACCAGCTGAACAGTCTTAGAGACCACATACCTCTTGAACAGGGAACTTTTAGTCCAAAGAGGTGAAACTTGACAAATTGAGAAGTATCTGAAAATAGGGCTTGAAAGAAAAGAAAAACCGTCAGGCATCCTGAACTAGCAGCAATGATACAAACCTTTCTTACAGGGTTTTTTTGGGAAATGCAAGCCCCGAAAGAACAAATACACTTTCTGAGTAGCTGCCCCAGAGGAGCATTTGTGCGATGCCATTTGACAAAAACAGAATACGACCCCCTTAGCACTGAGGAGCCCTAAAGCTGATTAGGTGAACAAGCCCACGCTTGCTGCGTACCGGCCAGGGAGTGCTTATTCTAAACCCCCTCGTTAGCTGCTGGCATGACATTTCTGGCATGTCATCTAGATTCACACAGCCTTCATAGGGTAAAAGCCACTCCAGCCCCCACCCCAATAAAGGGCAGTTTTTCAACAAAACCAGAAAGAAATGAAAGTGTGGTACCGACATGGGACATCATTTGCAGAGGAGACACATCTGGAGATAACTGAGGTAGTCTAAAAAAACCTCAGGTGGTTTTAGTAGCCAGCTCTTTGGACCTGGGTTTCAGAGCTCTCAGTCTGTGTCCCGTGAGGATCCTGATATCGAGGGTATGAGGATCGCTGTGGGTTGTCTTTTTCCTGGGCTCCACTGTTTCTCAGCTGGCAGCATCCCATCGAACGCAGCGCTGCGACATTGACTTGCATCAGCGATGGATCGAGCCCTCTGGGAGTTGGCATAATTGGAGATCAGCAACCTGGACTCCTGCCTGGGAAGCAGCAGGAAAGCAGCTGTACTTGAAGCAGAATCAAACCAGATTCAAAGTAATGGGAATATTTAAGCCGTGACAACTTCTAAAAAAAAAAAAAAAATCGCTCTGCTACGTTATTTTAGTAAATATTTGTAGGTGTCTGTAATAGGGGGGTAATCACTGCATTTCCTTTCAAACAAAAGCAAAGCAAGGAGAGCAGTTTTCACTAATACTGGATGATAAGCAAGGCATTCTAATGGATGGTTTTAACCTTGTCTTTGCTGGCAGATCATGTGTTACAGCAGTTCTCAGGTGTTTTTTCTTGCAGCACGCAAAAACTTAATGCTTATAAGTATCTAAAGGGTGCTTTGAGGGAGGATGGAGCCGGACTCTTTTCAGTGGTTCCCAGTGACAGGACGAGGGGCAACAGGCACAAGCTGGAACATGGGAAGTTCCACTCAAATCTGAGGAAGAACTTCTTTCTGGTGAGGGTGGCAGAGCCCTGGAAGAGGCTGCCCAGGGATAATGGGGAGTCCCCTTCTCTGGAGATCTTCAAGACCCACCTGGATGCCATCCTGAGTGATGTGCTCTGGGCAACCCTGCTTTGGCAGGAGAGTTGGACTGGATGATCTCTAGAAGGTCCTTTCCAACTCCAACAATTCCGTGATTCCGTGAAACAGGCAGCTTTCAGGTTAGACTGGAGCCCAGGTCCCAGAGACTCCATGAAATAATTTGTACCCTAAAGGATGTTGGAGAATTATGAGGGATTCCAGGCAACCGGGTGCTAGTGCACTGTTATTGTTATGGGCAGTGTAAAATACATTTCTGTACGTTTCCATGTGATTCTTGCACCAATGAAATAAAAAAGAAGTTGGTTTGGGAACTTCGAGAAAGCTTGTGCATCTCTTATTCAATTTACAACCTGTCCCAGAAGGGGAGGACTGCACATTCAGAGTGCCCACCAGACTGGTGCTAGAAGAAAGGCTGTGCCAGGAATGTGTCTCTTCTCAAGGGTGGAAAACAGCTGAGCCACCATTTCCATTTTCATCAAGGAGTGAAGCACAGAGCTGGGGGCAGGTAAAGAAATGCAGTCCTGAATGAAAACCTGCCGCTTCCTGTGCAAGGCAGGAGATCTCCTGAGGAGAACACGAGGAGAGCAGAGGGAGCTGCTTTTCCAGTCCCCATCAACAGCTCTTCTGTAGCAGGGACCCGTGCCCTGAGGGTGGCCTGGTCAGGACAAGTGCCAGGAGCACCCAGGGGAGAGCCAGAGTCACAGCGTGTGTGGTCAGGGACATTTCAGAGCTCCTGGCCCCAGCAGAAGGGAACCCAAAGACAGAGCCACAAGCGAGAGCCCAGCCCTGACGGTGGATCTGTTGGCTTTAGGAGCCCTAGGAAAACAGCACACAAAAGGAAAGAGTAATAATATTAGAAAAAAAGACCCAGCTAGCAGTCTGTAATGAACTACCGCATTCCCCGAGGGCTTGCTTCACCTCCTTTTTTTCTAATTCTGGTGCAATGCTTATAATACTGATGGATCAGGGTAGGTTTACAATGGCCAGTTTGCAGATACACACTGCAAAGCCAGTCGGGGAATGAACAAGAAGAGAAAGTGAATTCCTGTTTGTTTCTTTTCTTTTCTTTTTTTTTTTTTTGTAACTTTCTTT